TCTTTCTTTCTTTCTTTCTTTCTTTCTTTCTTTCTTTCTTTCTTTCTCTTTCTTTCTCTTTTCCTTCCTTCCCTTCCCTTTTTTTCTTTCAAAGGCACCTTGCAGGTGATATTAAGAAGTTTAAACATCCCCCTCTTTGGGCCTAAGCTATGCGCTTGAGTCTTGCACATATTATTGTTTCAGGGTAGTCCATACTTCCAGATGCAGTGCCTCTTTAAAGCAGCCACGCCATTTTTCAGGCTTGCACGTGAACCCGGAAAAAAAAGACCTAGCTGCTTTAAAGAGTTGTCTCCTTAAAGCAAGCGTGTGGCTGTTTCCATGCGACTTCTTAAAGCAGTTGTATCCACTCTCAGGCTGTGTGTACAGGAGTCTGAAAAAAAGGATACTGCTGCTTTAAAAGAAATACAGTGCTTGCATTCCTATGTCCTGTTAGCACCTCTCTGAAATCATTTTGAAACACACAGGCCTTAATCACCTTCATAAAATCGGATCTTATCCCTCAGGATCACCATGCCTTTTGTAAGCAGCTGGTTCTGAAAAGAGAACACAAAATATTAACAATTTTCATTACATGCTGTATTTTAACTACAGTGGGTTTTTTTTAATGACAGCTCAATAGAAAAATGATTGTTTGGCAATTACATTTTTATTAGACTAAAATTTGCTTACAGTGGAAGGAATCTTTGCTGCCTGAGAACACTTATATGCACCTTTAGTGGGCTCCAGACACGTAGAAAACACTGGGTTTTTGCTCCAAATTTACAGTACTCTTTCTGGGTATGGTTCTTTGAACCTGAAGCATCTTAAGATGAAGCACAGGGCAAATAACCAAACAAAATTTTGGTGCTTAAATTTCTTAGAAGGACAATAATAGCTATCAGTAATTTATTTGGTAACTTGCTTCGGCTAATAATAAAGCTTTCATTAAAACAGTAAAAGAGAAATCAAAACTAAACAGAAGATTATACGAACCTGTAAATATTCAGTAAAAAAAGATCCCAACTCAGTTTTCAGAAGCTGCCTGTTCCAAAAAAAAATCATAATAAATAAAAAGAATCACCATATTTTAGTATACATTTATTGAACTTTGTTATTCATGGTTGTTGCATTACAAATGCAGAGCTTGTCAGAAGGGATGATCAGAGAATATGATGCTTTATTGAAATTCTCTAACTTGAGTGCTAACAACTACACACATAAGCCACATTCTTTGTATGTACTTTTGTTTCCTATCTAAATGACAATCAAACCTAATTCTACTAATAAGTGCTAAGTAACAAAATTGTTTCTTAAATAAAATCTCTTTTAAGCTAATGTCAATAGCAGTTAGACTTATATACCACTTCACAGTGCTCTCTAAGCAGTTCATTAAGTGTTGTACCTTATGATTCTTGACGAATGTGTCTTTTCTTTTTATGTACTCTGAGAGCATATGCACCAAGACAAATTCCTTGTGTGTCTAATCACACTTGGCCAATAAAAAATTCATCCATCCATCCATCCATCCATCCATCCATCCATCCACAGAGTCAGCATATTGGCCCCAGCAAGCTCCAATTCAGATGGCTTCATAAAGATATCAATAAGACAATAATCTGAACATACTTTGCCAGCTTTATTATTTATTTATTTTATTTATTTATTTATTTGATTTGCCAATTGTTTACAAGATAATAAGTATAAATGTATACATAGTTGTGAATACATGAAATGGGTACATATAAGAAAAATAAAAGAATAAGAGAAACAATAGGACAGGGACGGTAGGCACGTTGGTGCGCTTATACACGCCCCCTACAGGCCTCTTAGGAAAGGGGTGAGGTCAATAGTAGACAGTCTAAGGTTAAAGTTTTTGGGGTTTGGGGAAGAAACTACAGAGTCGGGTAGAGTATTCCAGACATTGACCACTCTATTGCTGAAGTCGTATTTCCTGCAATCAAGTTTGGTGCGGTTTACTTTGAGTTTGTATCTATTGTGTGCTCTTGTGTTGTTATGGTTGAAGCTGAAGTATTCATTGACAGGTAGGACATTGCAATGTATGATTTTATATACCATGCTTAAATCAGACCGAAGACGGCGTAATTCAAGGTTTTCTAGTTCTAGAATTTCAAGTCTGGTGGCATAAGGTATTCTACAACGAGTAGAGGAGTGGAGAACTCTTCTTGTGAAATATTTCTGGACTTTCTCAATTGTGCTAATATCAGATATGTAATGTGGGTTCCAGACTGATGAACTGTATTCGAGTATTGGTCTAGCAAATGTTTTGTATGCTCTGGTTAGTAGTGTGATATTACCAGAGAAAAAGCTACGTAGGATTAGGTTAACAACTCTTAATGCCTTTTTGGCTATGTAGTTGCAGTGGGCTCTAGCACTTAGATCATTAGAGGTGAGTATTCCAAGGTCCTTTACAGAGCTTGAGTCATCAACAAGATCTTGACTATTCAGTTTGTATTTTATTTTTTGATTTTTTTTGCCAATATGTAAGACAGAGCATTTATTTGTTGAGATTTGAAGTTGCCATTTGTTTGACCACTCTGATACATAGTCAAGATCTTTTTGTAGGGTAGCAGTATTGTCTGTGGTATTGAACAGCTTTACATCATCAGCGAAGAGAACGCAATTGCTCTTAATATGATCACAGAGGTCGTTTATGTAGAGTATGAAGAGAGTTGGTCCTAGAACACTGCCTTGGGGAACACCACTATTGATAGGTACTGGATTTGATAGTACGCTCCCGATTTTGACCATTTGTTGTCTGTTTGACAGGAATGCTTCTATCCAGTTATTCAGTTGTCCAGAGATACCATAGGATTTTATTTTTAGGAGTAGTTTGTCGTGTACCACTGAATCAAAGGCTTTACAGAAGTCTATGTAGATTGCGTCTATTGCTTTGTCCTGGTCGAGTTGTGTCGTCCATATGTTTTTGCAGTGTAAGAGTTGCAGATTACAGGATAGTTTTTTTCTGAAACCAAATTGTTTATTGGAGAGTAGGTTATTTGTCTCTAAGTGAAGGATGATGGATTGGTTAATAATTGATTCCATGACTTTACAGGTGACGCAGCATAAGGAGATTGGCCTGTAATTTTCAACTAGGCTTGGGTCTCCCTTTTTGAAGATGGGGATGACTGTGGCTTGTGACCATAGGTTAGGCAAGGAGCTGGTCCTGAAAGATTTTTCAAAGATTATGCTTAGAGGTTTGGCTATGGCAGTGGATAGCTTTCTTAAGAAGTAGGCACATATTCCATCCGGTCCAATAGATAGAGATGGTTTTAGGTTGCGTAGTGCTTTTTCAACATTGTCTTCTGTGAAATCGATATGTATTAGATCATTGTTGTTATCTGTGGTACGGCTAGGAAATACTGGGCATGATCCATTGCTGTTTACAAATACTGAGCCGAAGAATGTGTTAAAGATGTTGGCTTTAATGGTGTCGTCGTTGCAGTCTTTACCATCAGGTCCTATCAAGGGAGGGATGGACCTTGAGTCTTTTAGTTTGTTGTTTACAAAATTGTAAAAAGCACGGGTGGAATTGGTGCTTAGAAGGTTTTCGTCTTGTTTAATGTGATAATTGGTGCATTCGGTCTTTATCTGGTGGCATAAATTTTTGTATCGGTTTTTGAAATTGGCAACGTGACCAGATTTGTTTTTCTGCCAGAGTGATCTCTTTTTGGATTGAAGTTTCCTTATTGATATGGGTAATCTGCTTTTTTGTTTTGTTTTGGGAGTTGTTGTTGGTACATATAGTTTGATGACTCTTTTGACTTCAAGTAAAAATATGTTGTAATGGTCTTCAACAGTATTGCATCCAGTGAATAGAGATTGCCAATCAAGGGATGAGAGATCGTTGTGTATAAGATCATAGTTGCCTTTTTTGAAGTTACAATTGGGAATTACATCATTGTGGTGATTTTTGTGTGGACGTATGTTGAGATAAAAGTCAATCATATTGTGGTCACTACTGGAAAAGGGTTCTTTAGTTTGTATTCCGTAAATTAAATTCAAACTATTGCAGAAGATGAGATCGAGGCAGTTGTTTAGTCTAGTGTTGTTGGTTACTAGTTGTTCCAGTCCCAGATTTGTAATAGCATTGTAGAAGGTTAGTATAAAATACACATAAAAATACAAATGGACAACCATTTCTTTGAAATGGTATAAGGATCTCCTGCCTGAGCAGGGAGTTGGACTAGAGGACCACCAAGATCCCTTCCAACTCTTGTTATTCTGTTAAAAACAAAGAATAAAATAATTTAAATAAAAGAGGAAGGGGTAGGGAAAAACAAAATTTCAGAAGGCAGATCAAAAAGAGAAAAAAACGCTCTAGAAATAAATAACACACACTCCACGTGGGGCTACTATCAACCATCCAACTAGCAAACCCAAAATAAGGAAACATTCTCGTGAGTTTTAAAATCGCAAAAGCACAACTTTATTGGATACACCATTTTGGTACTGAAGAATGAAAACCAGCTCTTAACCTAACTCACCCTACTCGGGTGCCTTAAAGAGTCTTTGGAAGTTGGCATAGAATGCAGCTATATGAACAGTTCTCGGGACCCCTAGAGTGGCCCATGTTACACCGCTGTTCCACGAGCTGCATTGATTGACAGTTGCTTCCAGATCCAATTGAAGGTATTGGTCCTTACCTTTAATGCCCTGCATGGCATGGGGCCCAGGTTATCTGAAGAATCATCTCACCCCTAATGGGATTGGCCCGCCCCACTCATGCCGGCAGAATGGACCCCATCTTTCAAGGAAATTCAGCTGGTGGGGTCTCTTTTCTGCCATGGCTCCCACCCTCTGGAACATCATGCCCTCCAAAGTGAGATCCACACCCACATTTTTGGCCTTCCTGGCTCTGCCAACTAGTCCAGGACCCCAGCGGAGGCATGTTGTTCTGGAGGTGGATAGCAATAGCACTTAGATTTATATACCACTTCACAGTGTTTCACAGCCCTCTCTAAGCGGTTTACAGAGTCAGCCTATTGCCCCCAACAATCTGGATCCTCATTTTACCCACCTTGGAAGGACAGAAGGCTGAGTCAACCTTGAGCTTGGTGAGATTCGAGCTGCTGAATTGCTGGCAGCCGGCAATCAGCAGAAATAGCCTGCAGTACTGCGTTCTAACCACTGCGCCACTACGGCTCATAATAATAGAATAAGATAACCCCACCTCCTTCCTGCATGCATCTTGTTCTCTTCCTCCCCATCTTGTCAATTTTAAATTGTAAATATTTATCATTTTAATGTTTTATCTTTTTGCTATGATTGTAAGCCACCCATAGTCACCTCTAGGCAGGACAGTCAGCATAAAGAAGCCTCTGTGGTGCAGTGGTTAGAGTGCAGTACTGCAAGCTACTTCTGCAGCCAGCTGCCTACAGTTTGGCAGTTCAAATCCCACCAGGCTCAAGGTTGACTCAGCCTTCCATCCTTCCGAGGTGGGTAAAATGAGGACCCAGATTGTTGGGGGCAATATGGTGACTCTGTAAACCGCTTAGAGAGGGCTGTAAAGCACTATATAAAGCGGTATATAAGTCTAAGTGCTATTGCTATATAAGTTTAATAAATAAGCAAATAAACTTTTGACTTAGATGCAGATATAAGCCTAAAAATCAGTGACCCTTTGAACTAGAGTAAACCAAAGCAAACAGTACTGCCATCATCATAAACAAATCTAAGCATCAAAGCCCCAGATTAAAATTTTGTTTTTGTTTTCATTTCCAGCAAAAAAAAATTCCAAGGGTGGTTTCCAAATAGAAACAAAGCTAGAAAAAGTCCCTGCTTCTTCTGACGAGCTTGTTTTAACTGCTTTAACTAGTTTGTCCTTTGTTATCTGCGGCTAATTGATTTTGATTGTGTGGTTCCAGACACTTTATTACACGCCCACGATTGATCTTTCTTTAGAGAAAGTGCTCCAACCTCCCTGTAATTATAATGTAATTGTCTGCTTCTTACTTCCAATTTACTGATTGAAACACTCTCCATAATATTTGAGATAATGACTCATTGCTCTGTCAAACAGAT